CTTGCCAGGCAGGCGCTTTTGCCGCTGAGCTAAATCCCCAGCCCCCTCGATAGATATTTTTAAAAAAGACTTGATTAGTACCATTTTGTCACACATACTGATCATGTTCATCACAGGGAATTTGTACCTGTACATAATATGTTGTAATTGTTCTTTTTCCCTTTTTCCTCCCCTCCCTCAGCTCTTCTTCCTCTCACCATTTACAAAAGCTTTGTTGCCATTTTTTCTCCTCCATTCTGTTTTTTAATTCCTTTTCTTGTTCTTCCTTTCCCACTCTCCCCTCCCTTATTCCCCTTGCCATTTGAACATGTTCTTCCTACTTCCCAATATTAAAAAAATTAAAAGACTTCTAACTACACTAATAAGAAGTAGGAGGAGGCTGCCCAATAACATGTTAGTGTATTCTTGGTGGAATAGCACTGTTAACCTTCCAGAAATTTTTAAAAAGGTTAAAGAGAATATTCTGAATGATTGTATGCCAGCAAATTAACCTGTGGGAACGAGGAAATTTCTAGATACAAAATACCAAAACGTACTCATGAAGAAATAGAAAATCCAAAGATATCTATAACAATAAAAAGTTTAAGAAGTAATAAAAAAAACTCACAAAGAAAAACGCAGGTGTAGATGGCTTGATTCACAAACTCTATCAAACATTTACACAGTAATTAACATCAATTCTTCCACATTCTGTGAAGTCAGTATCACTCTATCATCTAAAGCAAAGACATCAAGAAAAGAATACTGAATGCCAAGGTCCCTTATGAATATAAATGCAAAATTCTTCAGCAAAGTACTACCAATCAAACATAACAAAATATTGGAAGGATTGTACAAACAAGTGTGATCTAAGGAATGAAAATTTGCTTCAGCATATGAAAATGTATCAATGTGATATCATACATTAAAAGAATAAAAGACAAAAACCACAAAGTTTCGTTAATGTTTAAAAGTATTTCATAAATATACAACACTGTTTTATAATTTAAAACAAAATAAAAAACCAAGGAGTTAAAGGGACTTTTTCTCAAACTAATAAAGGGCATCCACATAAAGAGTTATCACTTCAGGTAGCATAATATCCGATGTTGGAGAGTAAAAAATTTTCCTTAAGATCGGGAAAAGACAAGAATGTCTATCTCTACTGCTGCTTTTTAAGATTGAGTTGGAGGTCCTCACCAGGGTGATTAAACAAGAAAAATGAGTTACACATATTTAGATTTAAATGAATAATTCAAATCACCTTGCCTTGCAGTTGATGTAAATAATCTTGTGCACAGAAAATCCAAAGGAATATACAAAAATCTTAGGGCTAATAAATGAATTAGCCTGACTGAGGGCATGAGATCAATGTAACAAAAGTTAGTTGTATTTCTATATATTAGCAATAAAACCTCCAAAAATGGAATTAAGAAAACACACCAGTGGGTTCTTAGTGAAGCGCCTATAGACTCTTTTCCTGCAGGTTGCTACACTGCTTCCCGGAAATCTCGAGGTGTACTCATCTCTGGTTTTCCCTGTCATAATCTGCTCGCTAATATATCTTCCACTACCTTCTTTCTCATTCCTTCCAATCCTACTTTCTCCCCCAGTGCTTGTCTTGTCCTCTTTTGGGTCACTCCTCAAATAAATGACTTGCAACACTCTTCTTCTCAGAGGGAACTCAAAGTAAGATACCTCTAGTGGCGCATACCTGGATTTCACCTCGTTGTCCAGTCTAACTATTCCTTTACCCATGCTGCACTCATTAGAGAAAAACACTGAACAGAACTTGAGGCTGTTAATTCAGATCTTTTAACAAGTCTATCTGAATGTGTACACGACACTGTCAAAGCAAATCTGAATTTGGCAAAGGAGAGATTTTATTCTATATACAAAATTACTTCAGAAGGGAAGAGATTATTGTAATAAGAAGAGGGAAACTATTACAAGGGGGAGAAGCTCCAAATAAGAGATCTGCAAATATCTCAGAAGAGTAGGCAGAAAAAGACTTTACTCCTATAAAGATGGGTAAATAAGGCTAACTGTGGGAAGCCTGAAATGTGGGGAAAGTGGAACAAAGGAGATTGAAATTGGAAAATGTTTTACCCTATAGTCATCTTATTCCTATGATTATCCCTTTAGAAGAGATTATTTATGCACTCTCAGCCTCAGGGTGGGTGAAGTTCAGGCACCTATGAGAGAAAGAGATTAACCAATGTCTGATTAGCAAACATTCTGTTACAGTTCATCACAGGGCCAGACTGGGTCAGCTAATCATGGGTTAGGCAAAAACAGCAACTGGACAGTCTGTGTCTGGCCTCATCACCGGTAAACAGGAGGCTGTTTTAGGCTCTTTTTTCTCATTGGCACACAATGCCTGACACCTACAGTTGAAAGCAGGAGTGGTTTAATTTGGCTCTGCTTCCGCAGTTATAGGTACCTGGTTCTCAGGTAGGAAGGGCATGGTGGAAGGCTTGGGCAGAGGAGGGCTGTTCACTTCGTGATACACAGGAAGCAGAGAGAGAGAGAGGAGCGGGGAGGCAGAGCTACCCTTCAGGTCTCCACTGCCCCGTGACCCTCCTCTTCTGATCAGACCCCACCTCCTCCCCCATGCTTAACTCTGAAGTCTTCAGTGGGTGAATCTGGTGATGAGTAGAGCGTCCCATGGTCTAGTCACCTTTTTAAAAGCCCACCTTAGGGCTGGGGATTTAGCTCAGCGGCAAAGCACCTGCCTGGCAAGTGCAAGGTCATGAGTTTGATTTCTGGTACTGGAAGAAAAATGAAAACGAAAAGCCCACCTCTTGAATTTTCTTTTTTTTTTGGTCCTGAGTTTGATTCCTCATACCGAAACAAACAAACAAACAAACAAACAAACAAACAAAAAGCCCACCTCTGAACAAATGAGGCTTTGGGGGTAACATTCCAGTTCTAAACCAACAGAGAGGCCATCTGTGAGGTTCATCCATGTCATATGGGGAAGAGACATTTCTTGCATTTGGAGGGTTTCTGAGCACAATGGAAGGGAGGTCTCGCAACCTTCACAATTGTGTAGGATCTCAGGGCTCAGGTAATGTTCAATGTATTCTTCACCTGATCCCCTCTAACTTTAGTTTACTTAACTGCAAAATTAACCATTGAACCTGATTTGTAGTCTCCAAACTTTTTTTTAAGAAGGACATTCTTTCTTAAAAGAAAGCTTACAGCCAGGCATGGTGGTGCATAGCACCCTATATTTCCATAAGGGGCTGGAACCCCTCTATCACCTGTCAATAGCCACCACTGTCTGAAATGTCCCCTGTGTTCCCTAAACTTTTAGATCAGCCCTTCTTGACCCTAGGCTTTGACCTTCCTTTTCTTAGAAAATTAATGTGAGAAAATTTAGAATTACAAATTATTTCTCTGCCAGCCAAAATACAGATTAAATATCTTCCAAACTTCTGGCTAGTTTTGAAATGGGTGTGCTGTTGTCTTTGTCAAGGTCCTGGGAGCTGGCCCTCTGAGATGGAATCTTTGCAGGAGTCAGCTTCCTCATCTTCCAGATCTGTTGGAAGGTGAGACCTAAACCAGCAATAACAGCCAATTAGCAATCGAAAGACTTAATCACTTGGGTGAACCAACCTCCTAGAGTCCTCCAGTAGTTTCTCCCAGCTCACCACCCCAGCTCTTCAATCCTTCTCACCTCTGTTTGGAATGGAATTAAGTTTAGTTTCTCCTCAACTGCAGTAGCCTTGAAGGGAGTCTTCCCTGCCGGCTTACTTCTGCCTATTATAATTTTTCTTTGACAGAATTTGTAGGTTAATTTATTTGCATGTTTCCTTTTGATCATTCTCTAAAACCTGAGAAATCAGTGTTGAGGTCTGCATTCAGAGGAATCTGCAAATAAAGTTTGTAAATTAGTTTTGCTTGTTGAAAACAAACAGCGTCCAGAATTGTCTAACACGTGACTAAAGAATCACAATGGCATTGTCCTTGCTTCTTTTCCCTCTAACATTCCCCGAAACTTGTCAACTCAGTGCTGTTTTTCTCTTAGCCTCAGCTTTGGAAGGCTCATGGCCCATTTACCATGAATTGAAACAGAGAACCATGCGCTCACTGTAATGCCCCGTCCCCACATTCGAGATGAAGCTTAGAAACTTTGAAGTTACTTTAAAGAGAGGAACATTCTCTCTCAGGTCCTTTCTCTATCCCTCCCCAAAGAGCACATTATCAGGATGCCAATATCTCTCTCATCCCTTGTTAACAGCAGCAAGTCTAGCATTCTGAAACTAAAAATGGAATGAATCAATCAGTTAATCAAAATGAACTGACCAAATCAACTAGCAGCTAGAGTAAAAGGTCCATGGAATTCTCAGGAGGTATAATCTTTTCAAGTCTCTTTCATTCCTTTCAGCCCAGTGTCTCTTCACTCTCCTTCATCACCTTTAAGGAGATTTGCATATAAATGGCATTCTTTTTATTTCTTCAGAGATCACCAGCCCCTCATTGCTTACTCTCAACCTGAAATGTAACCCTTGCTTTGTAGCTCCACAATTGGTTCTGTAAAAATGATTATGTTGTCACAAACAGGATTAGCACTTCAGGCAGAAGATGACCAGAAGGAGCAGAGGACTCTTAATAAGTAAAGATTCCCATATCTTCCAAATGTGCTTACCTAGAAGAAGAGCTGTCATCATTGGGGGAGGGGAAAAACAAAGACATTGCTAAGCATATCTATATTCAAAAATTTTTAGAATTTAAAAATGAAAAATCATTTTCCCACAGAATCACAACTCAGGGTTTAAAATAAAAAAAATCACTCTATATTTAGTAGGAAGAAATAGAATTCCTTTTATTTCAAAAATTCTTAGTCGTAGTGAAAGAGTTAGGGAAAAAAGTAAAAGTAAAATGTTCCTAATCTCCAGGAATACTAAAAATTCTGATGTCCAAGATAATTTACTACACACACACACTTTATTGCACATACTACTATGCATATATAATCTGTTACTATATTTATTATCTGTATATACTATACAAAATGTATGTATACACAAACAAAATTTGTTAACATTAGCATCAGAGTAACTGTCACTTAACAATATTATCTGGATGTCACGGTCAATGTCAAACAGCAACCATAATAAAATAACAGTAGTACATTTATAGAGGTTTAAGAGTTGCACCTTCACCAGTGAAAAAATAGGAGGCAAGTGTTTCTTCACTCTGCTAACCAGACCAACCAACGAGAGAAGAGAGAAAGGGCAGCCTTGGAGAAGCTTGATTGACTGGTGGATGGATAAGGTCAACCACACAAGTTGGTCTGAGAATTGTAAACCTGCTCATGCCCCCAGCCTCTGCTGCAGGTCAGAGAGAAGTTCTTGAAAAGACTGACGGCAGCACATAGCTTCGGACTTTCATTCCTTTTCCCTAGAACTCTCCCAAACAGTGCTGCCTTCTTTCATTTTCCACTGTTTTAAGGAAGCTAATACCTTCATTGTGTAATTGTTTTTTGTTTTTTTTTCCAGTTTTTTTCCGGTACCGGGAATCGAACTGACGACCTTGCACTTGCCAGGCAGGTGCTGTGCCGCTGAGCTAAATCCTCAGCCCCTGTAATTGCTTTTGTACATGTATGCAGGAGTCCTTCCAGGGAAATGGTGCTGTTGGCACTTTACCTCACAGAGGATTCAGTCATCACTCCTGTGCATGTGTCTCCATAACTGTTTGGCTAGAACATTCAGCTCTTTCTCTAAAGCCAGTGTAAAATGACTCATGCTTCCTCCTGTTTGAATAAAACTATAACACTGTCATCCATTCCGAGATGAATTGTCAGTACTTACCAGAATGTTCAAAAGCATCCATGAAGCTATACCTAAAACTGTAAAATGGCATTTGAAGCCATCTGAAGATATTGGCAATCAGAAATCCAAGGAATAGAAAATTACTATGATTATTGGCCCTTGTGCTTGAAAGCATCTCTTCTCTTCTTTCCTCATTTAAAATCATATGATCTCTTTACAGACAAGATTTGTAGAATGAAATAAACAGAGAGCCTCTGTATTAGTAATCAGATTATATATCCATACATAAATTTAAGAATAAGGAGGGGACAGAGAAAGAGAGAATAAAGAAATAAGCTTTTGCTCTTTGTGAAAGCACCCGTGTCCACTACGCTCTCCAGCTGGACGTTTGCCCAGTACTTAGAACTGGATCGAAGAAAAGCCATGAGCTTTGACCTTTGATTCCAGGCACCAGAAGCCCATGGCTCTAGAGCTTCTGGCACCTTCTGTATGTCAGGTCTGAGCCTAGGGGAAAGGAAACTGCCCCTCCCCTAGGCACAGACTGAGATGGAACAAGCAGAGGAAGGAGAGCAAAGGGTCCAGAGATGCCCAATTCAACATCAGCCCTCCAGATGAAACCTACTTCAGAAGATGCCTTGCCTTCACCATGAGGGTCATACATGGCTTTCCAGCAGTGTGAATGTTGGTGTCACTTTACTCCCTGTCCAGGTAACCCGTCCTAAGGACAAAGTTAAGCGTTAAGCTCTGGACAACAGGCAGATGCAAGTGGAAACAGGTTCAGCCTTTCTATTTCTCAAAGAAATGAAAGACAAGAAAAATGAAGACAAGGACGCTGGCAATAGCTGAAGTTATGGGTAGGAAGAGGAGCCAGGTTTGGTGTCCATCATGGCGGAGTGCTTCTGAGGAAAGAAGGTCTTCCTGAGGTTGTGTGAAAGCAACAGAAAAAGCTGCATTGCCCAACGCTCAGTACATGAAGAGCTACTCAGGGCAGCATGAATAACAGAACACTGACAGTTTCTATCCATGTGAAAAACCAAGTTAAACTCATTTACAAGGGTCAGTCCACTCCCTTTCAAAGCAATTCTGGAACTGTGTGGGGGACTCCAGCTTCTCAGCTGGCTTATTAGCATTTTTAGCAGGAGATGCCAGTCAAAAGCAGAGCGAGGCTTTTTGTCTTCATGCTCTCCTCTTTGTATCCTTTCTGCTGAAAATGAGCTTGAAATCTTTGAAACTGAGGCTCCCTTTCAATAGCAAACTTCAAAAGAGTCAGTATAAAGTGTAGCTGTAAAAGTAGGTTCTTCTCCACACATTCAGAATAGAAACTCTTCCCTGGGGAAATTAAACAGGCAATAATGGGTAGCTATGTCCTTCTTTCCTTCCTTCTTTCCTTCCTTCCCTCCCTCCCTCCCTCCCTCCTTCCTTCCTTGCTTCCTTCCTTCCCTCCCTCCATCCATCCTTCTTTCCTTCCTTCCTTCCTTCCTTCCTTCCCTCCCTCCATCCATCCTTCTTTCCTTCCTTCCTTCCTTCCTTCCTTCCTTCCTTCCTTCCTTCCTTCTTTCCTTTCTTTCTTTTCCTTCTTCCTTCTTCTTTCCTTCTTCCTTCTTCCTTCCTTCTTCCTTATTCCTTCCTTCAAAAAATATTTACCAAAATATCACACAAGTCTGGACATATTGCTAGTGCTGGGGAAACAGAGTTGAGCACAAAAAGCTGTCTTTGTGTTTTTTCCTTTGAGTCCAGGACACCAACAACCATGAACAGAGGCAGCCAGTAAATCAGAGTTTATTTAAGAGTAGAAAAAGCAAAGGCTGGGGATTTAGCTCAGCGGCAGAGGGCCTGCCTGGCAAGCTCAAGATTGTGAGTTCAGTTCCAGGTACAGGGAAAAAACCAAACAAACAAACAAAAAAAGGCTGTAGCAGGTGGCTTGCAGAGAGGAAAAGCTGCAAGAAGAATAGAAAAAGCCTGTGTACTCCATGAGGACCCCCATCAGCACCTTCTGAGTCCCAAGTACTCATAAAGGGTGGAGTGTAGCAAACTAGAATGCAGATCAGGAGATGCAGATTGCTGTCCTGAGCCCAAAGCCCTAACAACCACGATCTCAGCAGCGTGGTCACGGGTATGAGCTCAGATCTCAACTGCAGAGTCCAATTTTGCTACTGAGAAGCTATGTGGCCTGGGCAAGATATATAAATTCCCCTGGCCTCAGTTTTTGTTCCTGTTGGATGTGTGTAATGATAACCCTTCCTTTCCCACACAGGATGGAAGGAATTATGTAAGAAATTTATCCAGCACATGGTCAGTCCTGTAGATGTTAATTATCATCACCATGCTCTGCAAACACCAAGGCACAGATGTTCTAGCTATTTTTTAAAGAACTTGGTACTATCAGTGTCCCAAGGATTCAAGATGAATCTTTTATAATCCTTATGCCTCTCCTGCCGCCCCCTCCCACTCACACCTCCGTAATAGCTGTGCTTCTTCAGATCATTACTCATCTCAGGAACCACCATGCTTCTCCTTTGGTCAGGCTTATTCACTTGTCTAGCATTTGGTGCTTTTCTGAGAAATGAATGGAAATTGAAAGGGCCACTAAGTTCATCTAACTTGCAAAACCAACTTACACTGTGAGCTACGGTGTGAAGTGTTTGGCTAATTAATGCTGACTGCTTTAGATTTTGTTCCCATAAAGTCCTGTGCACTCGAGAGCATGCAAGTATTTGTAGCTCACCCTGGAAGGAGCTCTCCAAATCAATCATAGCACAAGGACAGTTGTGATCACATTCCATCAGAAATGAAGGCAGGGGGAAACCTAAGTTTCTTTCCTGAAAACTGAAGCATATCTCAAAGGATTCCATAGTGTTATGTTTCAATTAACTCCTGTCAGTAAGGGCTAACTGTGCCTTCTAATTTCTTGTTAACTGACTTACGATACATTTGACCCTTGAATATAAGAGCGTTTTGTCTATCACTATTAAAAGAGATGCATATTTTCTCCTGCACCTACAAATAATCAAGGAGTTTGAAAGGTTTCCCTGGGGAGCCCAAGGGGATTCACTTACTGAGACTTCCATCAGCACACGCACCATCCATACATTTGCCCAAATTAATCTGTTCACATTAGCCAGCCTGCTTCCCGCTTTGCCCAAAATAAAATACATTGTGCTTTCCCAGTGTTTTTATCCAAGTAATTGAAGTTATTTTACAACTTCCATCCTTTCTACAATGGACTACTCTTCCTTAAGATAAGACAGGATGTTATTATTCTTAAGATGATGTTGAAGTTGTGTTCACTACTGTTTTACCCTTTTATAGGATGGTTGTCAGAGTTGTGTGTGTGCGTATAATCTCCTTGCACTTTCATACATGATGTGTTGGTTTGGGGATATTTTTGCAAGGGAGAACAATATAATGCAGGATACATATTTTATATGATCATTTATAATAAGTCACCCGAAGAATGATATACAAAAGGGTAGAGGAAATCTGTCCACACACTAAGACTAAGGAATCCAGCTGAGGGCCTGGATCCTGCGACAATGTCCTGCGCGAGTACAGCTTAAGACCTAGAGCTCATAACAATGCCTCCCATGAGTCCAACTGGAGGCCCAGAACCCATCACAATATCTCATGCAGGCCTATTTCATGGATCTGTGCTGGGAAGGCCCACAGGTCAGTGGTGGAATCTAGAAAGTACGTG